TTGGCATTTTTCATTTATTTGTATTATATAGCACCTAGGAGTCCTGTTTATGGACTAGGACCCCATTGTACTATTGGGTGGCTCAGTAGTCCACAGTGAATGCTGACTTTGGTCCAGTTTGACCAATGAACAGAGACGCACCAATTAATTTTTAGTGTACATCTAGATACCTTCTCTTCCTCCCAGTTCTGCTTTGCCTTGTCTCATGCTCTCTTCTTCTTGAACAGCCGTTCTCAAAATTCTGGAGCCCAGTGATCACTTCAGGTTGTTTCAAAAACTTTTGCTCCCCTCTCAAATGCTTGATATTGTGGCTGTGATGGTACCTGAAAATGGAGAATAAAGATCAATTTATGGGTGTACTAAAATAGCAGTTGTAGAAAGTGGTTAGCATACATTCCCTAAAATACTGGTTTTGCTTGAGAAGCTGTGAAATGTGGTGTGTTCTGATATTCTAAAACAGAAAATTGGTTAAATATTTTTAGTACTACCAACAGTAAAGCCAAGAGACTGGCTTCAATCCTAAAGGAGAATGTTGATAAATTGGAGAGGGTTCAGAGAAGAACCCCAAGAATAATTAAAGGATTGGAAAACATGCCTTATCGTGATAGACTTAAGGAGCTTAATTTAGCTTAATGAAGAGAAGGTTAATGGGTGACTTGATTACAATCTGCAAGTACCAACACGGGGAGCAAATATTTAATAATGGGCTTTTCAATCTATCGGAGAAAAGTATAACATGATCTAATGGCTGGAAGTTGAAGCTAGACAAATTGAAAGCATAAATTTTTAACAGTGAGAGTAATTAACCACTGGAACAACTTACCAAGGCTCATGGTGGATTCTCCATCATTGACCCATCTTTAAATCAAGATTGGATGTTTTTCCAAAAGATATACTCTAGGAATCATTTTGGGGAAGTTCATCATGAGCCTGAATAACATTTGGGCTTCCATCTACTTTGTTGATTCCGATGTCCTGTTGGATATCTTTTTTTTTTTAAATACCTCATGCCTCCTTCCCCTGGACACACTCACATGTCTGGTGACCATATTTGACTGAATCCTGACCCCCATCCATGTCTGGCTGTCTGGAAAACCATAACTGGAGTTCCAGTTGATAACATAGCTGTTTGCATCAATACCGCATTAATACACTTTTCATTGTTTCCAGTATGGGAATGAGGTTAATCACATGGTTACACATACTAAAAAAACTCCCCAAAATTAGATTTGGTTTGTTCTTTTGTGGTTAGCTTATTATAAATTGCTAAATTATATAACTCTAGGTTAAGCACTTACTCTTGGCCAAAGTGTTAGGCCTTCTGCTAACTGTCTGCTGCTTAAGATAATGATACTTAAACTAACAGACTTTACTAGGCCTCAACTTATTGCAAAGCCTATCTCAAATATTAATTTTTTGTTATTCTATTACTATTACAGCTCTAACTTCTATATTACTATCTTAAAGCATGTTAATATGCCTTAGCATCAAAAAATCATAGATCATAGAATATCAGGGTTGGAAGGGACCTCAGGAGGTCATCTAGTCCAACCCCCTGTTCAAAGCAGGACCAATCCCCAATGAAATCATCCCAGCCAGGGCTTTGTCAAGCCTGACCTTAAAAACTTCTAAGGAAGGAGATTCTACCACCTCCGTAGGTAACGCATTCCAGTGTTTCACCACCCTCCTAGTGAAAAAGTTTTTCCTAATATCCAACCTAAACCTCCCCCACTGCAACTTGAGACCATTACTCCTTCTCCTGTCCTCTTCTACCACTGAGAATAGTCTAGAACCATCCTCTTTGGAACCACCTCTCAGGTAGTTGAAAGCAGCTATCAAATCCCCCCTCATTCTTCTCTTCTGCAGACTAAACAATCCCAGTTCCCTCAGCCTCTCCTCATAACTCATGTGTTCCAGACCCCTAATCATTTTTGTTGCCCTTCGCTGGACTCTCTCCAATTTATCCACATCCTTCTTGTAGTGTGGGGCCCAAAACTGGACACAGTACTCCAGATGAGGCCTCACCAATGTCGAATAGAGGGGAACGATCACATCCCTTGATCTGCTGTCTATGTCCCTATTTATACATCCCAAAATGCCATTGGCCTTCTTGGCAACAAGGGCACACTGCTGACTCATATCCAGCTTCTCGTCCACTGTCACCCCTAGGTCCTTTTCTGCAGAACTGCTGCCTAGCCATTCGATCCCTAGTCGGTAGCTGTGCATTGGGTTCTTCTGTCCTAAGTGCAGGACCCTGCACTTATCCTTATTGAACCTCATCAGATTTCTTTTGGCCCGATCCTCCAATTTGTTTAGGTCCCTCTGTATCCTATTCCTGCCCTCCAGCATATCTACCACTCCTCCCAGTTTAGTATCATCCGCAAATTTGCTGAGAGTGCAATCCACACCATCCTCCAGATCATTTATGAAGATATTGAACAAAACCGGCCCCAGGACCGACCCCTGGGGTACTCCACTTGGCACCGGCTGCCAACTAGACATGGAGCCATGGATCACTACCCGTTGAGCCCGACAATCTAGCCAACTTTCTACCCACCTTATAGTGCATTCATCCAGCCCATACTTCTTTAACTTGCTGACAAGAATACTGTGGGAGACCGTGTCAAAAGCTTTGCTAAAGTCAAGAAACAATACATCCACTGCTTTCCCTTCATCCACAGAACCAGTAATCTCATCATAGAAGGCGATTAGATTAGTCAGGCATGACCTTCCTTTGGTGAATCCATGCTGACTGTTCCTGATCACTTTCCTCTCATGTAAGTGCTTCAGGATTGATTCTTTGAGGACCTGCTCCATGATTTTTCCGGGGACTGAGGTGAGGCTGACTGGCCTGTAGTTCCCAGGATCCTCCTTCTTCCCTTTTTTAAAGATTGGCACTACATTAGCCTTTTTCCAGTCATCTGGGACTTCCCCTGTTCGCCACGAGTTTTCAAAGATAATGGCCAATTTCTCTGCAATCACAGCCGCCAATTCCTTTAGCACTCTTGAATGCAACTCGTCCGGCCCCATGGACTTGTGCATGTCCAGCTTTTCTAAATAGTCCCTAACCACCTCTTTCTCCACAGAGGGCTGGCCATCTCTTCCCCATGTTGTGATGCCCAGCGCAGCAGTCTGGGAGCTGACCTTGTTAGTGAAGACAGAGGCAAAAAAAGCATTGAGTACATTAGCTTTTTCCACATCCTCTGTCACTAGGTTGCCTCCCTCCTTCATTAAGGGGCCCACACTTTCCTTGGCTTCCTTCTTGTTGCCAACATACCTGAAGAAACCCTTCTTGTTACTCTTGACATCTCTCGCTAGCTGCAGCTCCAGGTGCGATTTGGCCCTCCTGATTTTATTCCTACATGCCCGAGCAATATTTTTATACTCTTCCCTGGTCATATGTCCAACCTTCCACTTCTTGTAAGCTTCTTTTTTATGTTTAAGATCCGCTAGGATTTCACCGTTAAGCCAAGCTTGTCGCCTGCCATATTTACTATTCTTTCGACACATCGGGATGGTTTGTCCCTGTAACCTCAACAGGGATTCCCTGAAATACAGCCAGCTCTCCTGGACTCTTGATATGATATACAATTTAATATTGCTCCCTAAAATCAAGTCAGGGGTTACAGGTCAGCAACATTTATTCATAAACTGTTTGATTTTGAAAGTGAAACTGGTTGTTTCTTAATTCTTTTCCTTTTCTACAATTTATCCTCTTCATTTGTACCCACCAGTATCCCGTCCTCAACAGCAGATAGTATTGTATGCGTCAAAGTATGGTACAAGAAACCTATGTCAGAAAGTTGCATAAAAACCTGACCAGAGACGCATCCTAGCCTCATTTTAGTGGTTTTCTTGTGCCTTGAAACATTAAAATTGATAAGATGTGCCACTTTGTGACTAAGAATTTCAGAACTTGATCTTAAACAACCATTTTTGAAAATCTTAACCACTGTTTACACATGTACTTTCAGTAAGGTATCATATGCAGAAATTTATATGCAAGCAGAAGTGAATTGGAACAATAGTACTGGGGGGGGGGGGAAGAAAAATATAAAGACATTACATGTAAAAAACCCCAAAAACCCAAATTCTGTTAATGGAATGTGAAGATTGAGAAATTAAATACGCAAGTTAATATTCATAAAACGGTAAGCCATATTGCTGCTTTTGTATATATTCAAGGTTGATTATACATTTAACTGAATGAAATGATCTAATTACATTGTCAAAAGTATAACCTAGTCAAGTTCCCGTTGTATGAACTTTTAACTTTTCAGTTTCCTAAATCTGGTGTGCTTAAAATCTCAAGCTTAATGTTAACCTTTCTTCACCTGCTATTAATTTGCAGTTTGCATATTACCAGAGTTTACGGTGATGTAGTACTATGCATCCAATGATTCTAGTCAGGTGTATACTATTTAAAATTGGGGGATTATTGTGAAAAGTCCATTCATGCCCACTGTGTTGGATTTTCTAAGAGAACTGTAGATCGTGGATCTCTGGCTGAAATAAAAACGTTTGAGTAATATTTTGATATAGCCTTAAATGCCTGTGATTTGAAAAAACTGACACAAATCAAATAATTAGTTGTTGAAAGAAACTTCCTAAATCTAAAAAGTTCTTGAATTTTAAATTTCAAGATAAAATTCATATGTTAAACTGACAAGCCATCTGGATGTTAGTAAGTTTAGGAGCTATCCTTCCCCATATGTACCAGGATTGATACTTGACAGGAGTAACAAATCATTGCAGTGACTTTAGCTGACTTAACAATTAAAAAAAACTAATGTGTTCGTTGCCAAAGCTGTTTCATTGGGGTAGCACAGTTTAAATTTGAAATATTTTTAACACTATTCTATTTGAAATACACTTTGACACACTTGGTCAGTGATCACACTTGAATTTTGATGCATTTCTCAGAATCATCTTTGTCTCATACTTTTTTTGACTTGTGAAAATAGATACTAACAAATTATCTTTCTGGTTTTCCTTTTTAGGGGAATTATTGAAGCTCGTTTTGTTTATGTCTTTGTTCTTGGCATAATCTTCACTGGAACCAAAGATTTACTCAAATCACAGGTTATATCTGCAGACTGCAAGACCAAGAGTATTGGTTTATGGGAAGTATATAGCGGATTGGTTCTGCTAGCAGCCCTGCTATTTAGACCCCATAACCTGCCAGTTTTGGTGTTTTGCCTACTGATTCAAATGATAATGACAAGATGTATCTGGAAGCCACTAAAATTTGATGCAGCTCAAATTACTATTATGCATTATTGGTTTGGCCAAGCCTTCTTCTATTTTCAGGTAAGCTGATAATACAGCATCAATGAAAATAATGTGTGTAGGTATTCTACCATGTGTTGTGTTAAATTGCACCATAGGGCCTGATCCTGCAAAGACTCAAGTCAGTGGAACTACTCATGCAGAGTGAGGCCCCTAGGTTTCAGTTAACTTTATTCTCCACCAACCTATGCTATTTAGTGTGGAATAACATTTGCACGTACATACAAAAAATAAATAAATAGTGCTAACATGCATATATATATATATATATATATATATATATATAAAAATGTACAGTGTTCTTGGCAAGAACATGAACTAAGCTAATATAAAATTGCAGTCAATTTATAACTTCTGGTCTAGTTTAGTCTGTCTCTAAAGGCTACTACTAATAAAATATAATATGGTAAAATCTATCCTGGCACATATGGGGAAGGATAGCTTCTTAAAATAGTGATACAACTTTCAGAATGTTTTATTCGTAATATTATAGCATCAACTAATTTCTTGAAGGAATAGAGCTTCAGAAATAAAGTATATACAAAAGGAAATATGTAAAGTTCATTTGTGGAGCAGGAGGTATTAATAGTGGTAGTTTCAGTGGGCAATGGGAAGACTCAAGGGCTAAGTGGACTAATTTAAAAATTTTAAAAGCTTTTGAAAAACTTCTATGGTCCATGTTAATTAAGGTATTTAATAAATAATTTGAGATGGTGTTTTGCCAAATTCTCAGAAGTGCTTTGATTTCCTGCCATAGTATAAATATTTACTGCCACTGTTTTTTTCAAATGGGGAAAAGATCAGGTAACTCCAGTAAATAACTTTATTGTGGACTGTAATATTGGCAAAAACAGTGGCATGTAAAATCACGTTCATTCACCCTGCTTGGATCATGCTGGTTTGTATAAAAATATTCCACTTTAATATGGAGTCCCAGGACTCCTAGGTGCTACTGCAATACAAATAATTAATTTAAGAATGTTAACAGACATGATTAATATTTAAAATAGCAACAGACAAATCTAGTTCTGTCACTGACTTGAGACATACAAAGCCTCTGAACTGGAACTGTATGAAACTTTGATGTAGTTTAGGTGAGATTAAAACTATTGTGAATGTAAATTGTTGAGAATCTGAAGAAAGGCCAAATTCTGCTACCTTACTTCCTGCGGAGCCTCATTGACATCAATGAGTAGAACTGCCCTACTGTGAGTAAGGGTGGCAAATATAACTCTCAGGGTAATATTGGGGATATAGAATATAAGGATACATTATTTATGGACATTGATTTGGGAGAGTGACATTTTTCCCTCTTTTTCCTTTTTGTGCTGGTCCCAGGCTACCTCAACCAGCATTTCCATCCTTGTGGAAGGGAGATGTGGATTGGATTGACTTCCTTCTAAATGAGAGAGACATTGTGGGTGGTTAGTCATAAGGAATTTCTGTGGCTTTTTCTCCTGCTATATGGGAATATATTCTATATGAGGTGTGAGGGTTGCTGGCCAGGCTTTTCATCAGGGAAATTATCAGGAACACTTTCTTAACTTTTATATATGGTATTTTTATTGTAAAATTGGAGAAATAGTTATATTTAGAGGAAAGATATTAATTTGCCAGTGGCTGGATCAGTATAATTGAGGGCTTTTATTGAGATGAAGATGCGAAAGCCAGCTTACTTTGACTCTTGTTGCTTTTTTGCTTTAATTGCTACATTGTGTTACAAGATGAAGGGAAAAAAAATCAAGCTTATTAACCAACTGTAACAAATTTAATACAGTTAAATCAGCATCTTTTTTGTGTGTCACGTTGTTACTGTAAGTCAGTAGCTTATGAACCTCAATGAATTTTTCAACAAACCTTGCCTGATTATCATTATTTTCCTGAGCCTCAAGCCATCCGCTCCTTCCAATGGATCATTAATTCCCTGGAAGTGCCCTGTGGTTTTATCATTGCTGTTTAATTCAGAGCATGCAGTGACAACAGAAGTAAAGATTACTTTAGTCTTCATTAATTATAGAGTCCTAAAAAATGTAGACCATTGTCTTCATACTAAAAGAAAAGGAGGACTTGTGGCACCTTAGAGACTAACAAATTTATCTGAGCATAGGCTTTCGTGAGCTACAGCTCACGGATGCTTTCAGTGGAAAATACAGTGGGGAAATTTATATACACAGAGAACATGAAACAATGGGTGTTAAGAATACACACTGTAACGAGATTGATCAGGTAAGGTGAGCCTATTACCAGCAGGAGAGCGGGGGGGGGGGGGACGGGACGGGACACCTTTTTTAGTGATGATCAAGGTGGGCCATTTCCAGCAGTTGACAAGAACGTCTGAGGAACAGTGTGTGTGTGTGTGGGGGGGATAAACGTGGGGAAATAGTTTTACTTTGTGTAATGACCCATCCACTCCCAGTCTTTATTCAAGCCTAAGTTAATTGTATCCAGTTTACAAATTAATTCCAATTCAGCAGTCTCTCGTTGGAGTCTGTTTTTGAAGTTTTTTTTGTTGAAGAATTGCCACTTTTAGGTCTGTAATCGAGTGACCAAAGAGATTGAAGTGTTCTCCGACTGGTTTTTGAATGTTATAATTCTTGACATCTGATTTGTGTCCATTTGTTCTTTTACGTAGAGACTGTCCAGTTTGGCTAACATACATGGCAGAGGGGCATTGCTGGCACATGATGGCTTATATCACATTGGTAGATGTGCAGGTGAACGAGCCTCTGATAGTGTGGCTGATGTGATTAGGCCCTATGATGGTGTCCCCTGAACAGATATGTGGACACAGTTGGCAACGGGCTTTGTTGCAAGGATAGGTTTCTGGGTTAGTGGTTCTGTTGTGTGGTGTGTGGTTGCTGGTGAGTATTTGCTTCAAGTTGGGGGGCTGTCTGTAAGCAAGGACTGGCCTGTCTCCAAAGATCTGAGAGAGTGACGGGTCATCCTTCAGGATAGGTTGTAGACCCTTGATGATGCGTTGGAGAGGTTTTAGTTGGGGGCTGAAGGTGATGGCTAGTGGCGTTCTGTTATTTTCTTTGTTGAGCCTGTCCTGTAGTAGGTAACTTTTGGGTACTCCTCTTGGTCTGTCAATCTGTTTCTTCACTTCCGCAGGTGGGTACTGTAGTTGTAAGAACGCTTGATAGAGATCTTGTAGGTGTTTGTCTGTCTGAGGGTTGGAGCAAATGCGGTTGTATCGTAGAGCTTGGCTGTAGACAATGGATCATGTGGTGTGGTCTGGCTGAAACCTGTCTTCATGCTGAAACCTGATGTTTACAAGCAGTGACAGCTTAAAGTAAATAATGTGTTTTAAAAAGTCTCCAAATCCAGTTAATAAGTTGAGGTTTCAGTTAGTATTCCATGGTCGGCTTCATAACTAAGAAAATAGCAATTGAAAATATGCGGAGAAGTTCATATTAGTAAAACTTTATTCAAAAGAACTTACAATGTAAAATTGTCAGGAATGGATGACCATTGGCAGATGAGGCTTCCATTTGATTGCATTGGTCAGACTTGTCGTCTTTAACTGTCTTTTGAAACAATGTGCCTGTAAGAGGGAGGAAGGAAATTGTAGGCTAAAACCTTGAATATTGTTCTTGCCTTTCTTCTTTTATTTCATATTAAATGTAATGATTGGATTCAAATAATTATTTAAAATAACTCTTGATTTTTCTTGCACAACCTGCTTGTACACCTATTTATTCTGCATGATACTCTAGTTATTAAAGAGATGCATGAGTTTAAGGCCAGGTCATGAGGAAAAGCAATCAGAACACTAAGCTTCTGTGTCATTAAACTAGTGTTAAAGCAGATTGGAAACTCGTTAGTCTGACATAGCACTTCCTTATTGTCGGTGTCACAAAATGTCGCCAAGGCAATGCAACTAATAGCTTCCAGATAGTGAGAGGTGCTTCTGACCATATGAAATTTCATGTTTTGAGCAAAATAAGTGCTGTTTTCAGAGGCATATGGTTGCCTCCCATCCTTCAGACTTTTGAACATAAAGGAGTTATTCTCCACAGCATATATGCTATATTAAGGTAGCATTTAGCTACCTACCATTTAGCTACTTACCTAGCAAAGGTTGCATTTGCCAAAGATTTGTTTTTATTCTTGCTTGTGAGAAAAGCTTCATGCTTCAAGGGTTGTTTGTGTTCCTCATTTATGTGCTAACGTAGAACCTCTTTCTCATAAGTTTCTTTAGTTAAATTCAGAATACTGATTTAGGGCTCAAAGACTTATTAAGCCTTTAAAGCTACGTGTTAATTAAACTCTTTGATGTGTACTGTTTCATTCTGCCTTTCAGACATCTAAGTGATATCTTTGTTTTATTTTCAGGGAAACTCAAATAGTATTGCTACAGTGGATATTTCAGCTGGTTTTGTGGGATTAGACAACTATGTGGAAATACCAGCAATTTTTCTTACTGGATTTGCAACGTACGCAGGACCTTTGCTTTGGGCCATTCACTTGCTGTGCTACTTGAGCTCCGAAGTTAGCAGGTAATTGTACTAAAAGCTGATAAAATTAAAAGGAATGGTTCTCACAGATACAGAAAAGCATCCACATAATGTAAACAGGAGCTCATATGCCTTTCCCCCCCTTAACTTTAGCCCTTTGTTGCTCTTCCTGCCCTTTTTATAGTTCAGTACTCTTACTAACTCCCTTATTTCTCACCCTATTTTTATTCCCATGTTTTAAAAAAAATCCTGGATCTGGCACAGGTTTGTTAATCATCTCCATGTTTATATGTATGATGTTCTATCCCCATCCCCTTCCTTTCACCTGTCACTTAAATTGTGAGCTGTCTGGAGCAGAGATTCCCTCTCCATCTGTATCAGTCCATACAGTGCCCAGCACAGTGGGGTACAACCGCTTTTGTGTCAGTGTAGTACTGTGAGGGAGACGAGTAAGACAAGACAAAGCTCCTGTAATTTTTTTACTTCGGTTTCAGGTTCAATATTTGAGGTTTTAGGAATATTTTGAAAACCTTACACTTGGCAATGTACAGTATTCATGCAGATGGGTATCAGTCTTCTAATGATTTTCCAAAGGGAGAATGGCTTTTACAGCATGTTTTTAGAATGCTTTTATAACAAAGATGAAAGCTAAAATTTTGTAGCAATGTTTTTGAGGTAGCATCTTAAACGGAAGCTCGTAGTGATTTGGTTGAATAATGTCCCTGCAGCAGCATAAATATTTCTGTTTTAGGCTGGATTTTTGGAGACTGAACAAATCTTTCCTTCCTTTATCAGTGTAACCATAGCAATGGCCCACTGAGTAATCCATTCAGAGTTTAAAGAGTTCATTAAAAAAAGTTGCATGTTTTTTGTAACTATTTATTTTTAGAAATTTTAAATTCTGTCAAAGGGATTGATGATCTAGGCCTACTACATAATTTTGTGTAAATTGGGAACACTTTACATTCGGAAGTTAGGAAAGTATTTAACAAAATCATTTTTGTGCTGTTGAAAATTGGAAAGGCTAAATCTCCAATTTTGGAATATATTTTATAAATTTAAAATGCAAATACATTTTAAAAATAAATATTTGAAATTGAACTTCATTTACTTCCCAAGACCCAGATTCAAAATTCAGTTTGCTTCTGTAACAGCTGATATCACACATGTACAAACAGCGTGGGAAACACACTTAGTGTCCGCTATTGGAAACTGAGATCTCCTTTACTGTTGTCACAGAAACCAGAATCCTAACCTGGACAGCTCTATAGCTCACTTAGATATATGGCCATTTTTTGTTGTCATTGATTGGTTAAGGTCAAATGCAGCAGACCAGTGTTTCATCTGAATATATTAGGTAGAACTTGCAGCATCTTTAGCCTTTCAGGGTTTGTTTGAATCTGGGTGCTGCAGATACTGTCAGGTTGGGTCTGTCTGGGTATGTCTGCACTACAGTTAGACACCTGCAGCTGACCTATGCCAGCAGACTTGGGTTCACGGGGCTCAGGCTTGCGGGGCTGTTTAATTGCGATGTAGACATTCAGGCTTGGGCTGCAGCCCGAGCTCTGGGACCCTCCCACCTTGCAGGGTCCTAGAGTCTTAGCTGCAACCAAGCCCGAACGTCTGCACTGCAATTAAACAGCCACTTAGTCCAAGTCAGCTGGCATGGGCCTGCTGCAGGTTTTTAATTACAATATGGACATACCCTGTATCTTTTCCTTTTAACCTAGGGTTTTGTAATTAGCAATTCAATGTCTATGTCCTTTGCTCAGGTTCCACTTTCCTTGGAATTAAGGCTGGAACACTGGAGAGAGGAAAGGGGTCAACGGATCTGAATCACTACTTAAACATAAAAAGAAAAGGCGTACTTGTGGCACTTTAGAGACTAACAAATTTATTTGAGCATAAGCTTTCGTGAGCTACAGCTCACTTCATCAGAGACATTCAGTGGAAAATACAGTGGGGAGATTTTATATACACAGAGAACATGAAACAATGGGTGTTACCATACACACTGTAACTAGACTGATCAGGTAAGGTGAGCTATTACCAGCAGGAGAGCGGGGGGTGGTGGTGTTTCTGTGACCATCGCTTATTAGCACCGTAGTGTCCAGGAAGTGGATCTCGTGTGTGGACTGGTCCAGGCTGAGGTTGATGGTGGGATGGAAATTGTTGAAATCATGGTGGAATTCCTCTAGGGCTTCTTTTCCATCGGTCCAGATGATGAAGATGTCATCAGTGTAGCGCAAGTAGAGTAGGGGCGTAAGGGGACGAGAGCTGAGGAAGCGTTGTTCTAAGTCAGCCATAAAAATGTTGGCATACTGTGGGGCCATGCGGGTACCCATAGAAGAATTATAACATTCAAAACATTCAGAACACTTCAATCTCTTTGGTCACTCGATTACAGACCTAGAAGTGGCAATTCAACAAAAAAACTAAAACTTCAAAAACAGACTCCACAGAGAGACTGCTGAATTGGAATTAATTTACAAACTGGATACAATTAACTTAGGCTTGAATAAAGACTGGGAATGGATGGGTCATTACACAAAGTAAAACTATTTCCCCATGTTTATCCCCCACCCTCCCGCTGTTCCTCAGACGTTCTTGTCAGCTGCTGGAAATGGCCCACCTTGATTATCACTACAAAAGGTGGTCTCTTCCCACCACCCCCACTCTCCTGGTAATAGCTCACCTTACCTGATCACTCTCGTTACAGTGTGTATGGTAACACCCATTGTTTCATGTTCTCTATGTATATAAAATCTCCCCACTGTATTTTCCACTGAACGCATCCGATGAAGTGAGCTGTAGCTCGCGAAAGCTTATGCTCAAATAAATTTGTTAGTCTCTAAGGTGCCACAAGTCCTCCTTTTCTTTTTGCGGATACAGACTACCACGGCTGCTACTCTGAAACCTGTCGTTACTTAAACATATTGCAGCTCTAGGTTTTAAAAAACCTTTTATGCTCTAAACATTCTTTTTAGACTTCTCGTTAAATATTTTGTGAGGCATTGTTAAATATGCCTAGAGGTGCAGTAAAATTGCTACTGACTTTCAATTTCCTGTTGTGCCACTCAGATTTTCAAATTCTTCAAAAAGTTTGAATCAATATTTTAATTGGCCTGATGAGTTTGGTTTCAGTGTGTTCTGCTGGATATCTCCTGGAACCCGGAAATGAAAAATGGTTTTACAACCTTTATCATCTTAGATTTTAATAAATCTTCTGTATTCATATTGACACAGTAGACATTCAGTTGAATAGGAGTGAGTGCCTTTTCAGATATTGTAGATGGAAATTGCACAGAACAATAGCATGCTAATAGCTATCAAATGTTTAATATTTTTAGCAGTAGTGTCATTCAATAAACTAAGTTTGTTGCTAGTCTAATAAGCATTCAGAAATAACTTAAGGGGCTTATTACTTAAGTTACTGTAAAATTAGTACAGTGCTGACAAACTAAAATGAGGATATGTTGGCTAGAGGAAATACTGTAGCTCAAGACAGCTCCTTCCCCATTTAACCTTCTGACAGTTTTATCCCTAGCTTGCACCTTATCTAAAGCAGTCCTTTTACCCCCGTATAAATTCAATGACATGCAATGCTCATACCACCCATTTCAAAGTCAGTTTTTCTTAGCTATAAAGAGGCAAAGCAAGAATTTTCTCTGAATTGCAGTAATGATACTGCCTTTTTAAATGCTGCTACTGCTGCTCATGTCTATCAGCCTTGGGAGGAAGAATCTAAAGAATTGTTCTCACCATGTTAATATAATATTATAGAGAAAGAGGAATCCATGCTGCTCATCCAGGTCCTGCCTCCTGCAGGAAGCCTGGCTGGTTTTAAAATCTACACTGGAAACATCTACATGTCTCTTGTATAGAGCATATGCATGCTTGGAAATAGTTTGGGACTAGGAATAAGTGTTAACAATATGGGGAAGAACTACAAAATATCTTGTTTTCTTTGATCTCTCACAACATATTATGATTCCAGGAGGGGCAGGTGAATTTCCTTTGAAGTTAACATTGGACAACTGACACCTTTTTGGTCATTCCCCTGTCATTCCAGTGAGCAGAGATTTTGACATTTCCAATTAAGCCTCCTAGGGTATGTCTACACTGTGTTTTGGAACTCATGGGAGCAAGCCTTCCAGCCAGAGTTGACAGACTTGGACTAGCAAGGCTCCTGCTAGTATCCTGTTTAAAGTTGTGACTTGGGCTAGAGCTCAGGCTCTGAAGCCTAGGGACAGGTTTGGGCTTCAGAGCCTGAGCTCTAGCCTGGGCTACCCCTTAAAAGTGCTAGCTATACAGCTGTTTTAGAGCACTACCCTGAGTCTGTTGACCAAGGCTGGAAGGCTCACTACTGTGGGCTCCAAAACACTGCATAGACATACCCCTATGAGCCTTGTTTTGCCCTCACTCTTGGCCCATGTGACCCATTGCTACCAATATTATTACACAGTCTGTATGTTAAGGCAGGATTTGGTCATCTGTTTCTAAGTGAGAACTATGCAGCCAACCAGGGTTGCCTACCATCACTTGTGTCACAAATACATGACAAGTTGCTTCAAAGCTGACTGAAACATAAATGTCATCTCCTTCCCCTGTGGGCCAACTATGCAGCCGTAGTTCAGGAGATGAAACACTGTGCAATTGGCAGGGGGTAGAAGTGAGCCTGAATTTATAAATATCTATTGTAAAATATCTGTTACTAACAGATACAGGATGTGCATATTCTAAGGGGATTGGAATTTAAAATATTCAAGACACTTAATCCTGCGTGTCAGAAATATGTTTTGTACTGTGTAGCGTCTAAGGACTCAATTGTATACAAGCCAGGTCCTCCTGGTGCTAGATCCTGTAGTAACACATAACAGATGGTCACTGCCTTAAATACTTGGGTCCAGATTGCCACTCTTAGTCATGCTGAGTAGCACCTTACTATGTGAATATTTCCACTGGAACCAAGAGAACTATTTGTTGAGAAAGGTACTACTTGACAGGAATAAGGGAGGCAGAATCTGGTGTTCAATATTTGG